TGGCATAGATGAGGTTTGGTCTTAAAATAAAATGTTTTTCATGATAGGGCGGCACCTTGGCACACTGTGGTTAGCCTTGCTGTCTCGCACTGGGGCCCTAGGTTCAACACTGCACCTGGGGTGCTGCTGTATCTCCATGGCGTTTGAACACTCTGCTCCTGTTTGCTAGGGCTGTCGCTGAGCGCTTTGGTTTCCAAAATCATGCTGGTACTGTAAGTTAATTGGCTCCTGAGAAAACTAGCCTTGGTTTGTTTGGGTCTGTGTCTGAGTGTGTCTGTGACTGCCCCGGTCCCATCTCAGTCCCATCCATTTATAGACTCAGGACAAACTGAAAGGGCTCATAAGCACACATAGAAAAGAATAACTATGATCAAAATAAACCTCATACACGTCACCCACACCTGAGCGGAACTTTGTAACTTGGTTGCTGAGGGCATAACTTCAATCATTTGCTAGAGAGAGGCAGAGTAAGCAGTCTGCCTGGCAGTGGGTCCGGGGGTTTGGGAATCATTAGACGTACAGTAGATCCTGAGAGCAACATCAAGGAATCTGTATCTTGCAATTCCACAGTGAATTATCCTTCATTCACATCATCTTACATGTTATTACGCCTACATTCCAGAAGGTTATGACAGTTTTCTAACTAACAGTAAACAGGAGAACTGTTTACTCTCCTGGTATCATAAGCAAATTGAATTTCAAACAGTCCCTTTATATATCTTACCCTCTATTAAAAGGATCAACGTACAGCTGTTCTCAACATGTAAATGAAGGACAGCATCTTTCAATCAAAATAAGAACTTTTTATTCTCTTTCTTCTCAAGTGTCTAATGATTTCAGATCTGGGTAGACTTTGCATGTGGTTTCTAGTGCTCATTACTTTCAAAACAGCTTCTCCCAGGGGTCCTCCAGTATGGGTTTCTGTAGGTTTTAGAGGTACTTTTTTAATTAGCACCTCATTAAGACATGGGAAACACAGCTGATCTGAATTCTTATTCACTTAACTGGCTCAGTTAAATCATTAAAATCTGAGTCTGAGTGAAAACCAAAAACAAGCACACCATTCGGGAATTAGGGTTGCCTCCCCCTGTCTTACACTGTGACCTAATGGAAATGAAAAAAGAAAGCCATTTATACACTTTAGTCAAACAAAATTTTGTAACAAAGAAAGAACATTTTAAAAACAAGAACCAATAATCAATTTTCTTATCTCATGGATTCATTCCATCATCTATGCTTGATTTACATAATACACACTGGTATCCTCCCACAGTCTGAAAACATGCTGGCAGGTTAATTGGCTTCTGTAAAAACAATAGTCCTGGTGTGAGTTTGTGTGCGCTTTGTGAGTGTGTGTGCACTGCTGGACAGGTGTTCCCTCCATGGTGTATCCCACCTAGTGGTCAATGCTTCCCAGGACAGGCTCTGGGCCACCCTGACCCTTGATATTTGGTTCAGAGTGATCTGCTGTGGTTCAATAAAAAGATAAATTGTGTCAATACTACACAAAGCCACTGGGTGGCAGCAGAACACCCTCTGAGTGGAAGCCATCTATTGAGATACTGCAAGTAACAGATTGAAAATCTGCACAAAAGGTTCCCTAGTCAATGTCCAATGTGCATGTCCTGCAGTTGCACTGACCCTGCCTGTAGAGGTGACACTTGTTGAGACAGTGTGCTTTGATCTATGTTTCGCAGTTATATTTCTCTCAAAGGGCACTGGCCCACAGAGCACACTGACCCCTCATTGGAATTCTTAAAACATACATCATCTCCAAGCTGTGTATAAGACTTTGTTCAGATAGCCTCTAATAAATTGCAAATTACACGGGGGCTGTTTTGGGTAATAGAGCCCACTATGTACCTGCATAG